GGCTTCTCTGGGCATTTGTACGAGGTTTTTCGTTTGTCGTCACACGGACGTGTGTCTGGACTTGGAGTCGCTCGCAAAGGGCCCACGAGGTCTACCAAGTACGTAAAATAATTTGGACCCAGTTTGCAAGGACTGTCCCCCCCCCAGCGTCCTGGGGTCTCGGTCGAAGTTGGGCCCTGGACTTTTCTGGGTCATGGGGTCTGGCTGTTCGGCGTGCTCGCGCGCTCCCGCTCTGTCTCAGTGGTCGGGGGGCGGGGAGGAGAGTCGAACTGGGAGTCTTCCGACTTCCGATGGCAGTGATGGCGATGTTAGAGACCAGGCTTCTGGGCGCCGGCCGCCCCAGCTGCTCATCCTCCTCCTCATTCATCCTCCTCATTCTCCTCCTCTTCCTACCCCTCATCATCATCTCCGCCTCATCGCCACCCGCATCACCACCCGTATCATCACCATCCTGGTCCCTCGCCACCACCACCACGTTCATCAGCACCTTCACCATCCCCACTGCCATCGTCATCACCATCTCTAACGGCATCATCCTTCCTCCCCCCGGCGGCCGCGAGACGGCCTCCGCCCCTTGCCCCGCCCTCGCGGAGGCCGTGGCGCCTCCGCTGCCCGCCGGGCTGTCGGGGGCGCCCCTGGCTGGGCGGCTGTGTCGCGCGGCCTCGGCGCCGTCGCTGGGGCGCAGGCCAGGGCGATGGGAACGAGGGATGAAGCTGGGGAGGATGGCGATGACGACGGTGATGACGATGATGACGATGACGATGACGATGATGACGATGATGCTGCGGCTGCTGCTAGTGATGATGATAATGATGATGCTGATGGTGGTGGTGGTAGTGATGATGACGATGGTGATGATGCTGCTGCTGCTGCTGATGATGATGATGATGATGTTGATGATCTGATGATGGTGATATTGATGATGATGATGACGATGACGGTGGTGATGACGATGCTGAATGTGCGGATGATTGTACTGCTTCATTCGACGATGGCGGTGATGGCGATGAGGAGGAGGAGGATGGGGATGGTAATGGGGATACCAATGATAATGATGCTGATGATGCTGCTGATGATCACGGTGACGATGGCGATGATAACTGATGATGATAGTGAGCATGATAAGCATGATTCTGCTCAGGACGACGATGCTAATGATGACGATGATGATGACGTTGGTGATGATGATGATGGTGATGACGATGATGATGATGATCAAGAATATGATAATGATGGTTGTGGTGACGATGATGGTGATGATGATGCTGCTGATGATACTGTTGTTGATGATGATTTTCATGATGTTGGAGATGCTGATTGTGATGTTGCTGCTGCTGACGATGCTGACGATGCTGATTCTGATGACGCTGATGCTGATGCTGATGCTGATGGCGCATGTACTGATGATGATACTGATGATGGCAATGAGGAGATTCAAACGATGAGAGTGATGATCATTTTGATACGGTTGGTGCTGCTGCTGATGATGCTGATGAGGATAATGCTGATGATCGTGTAACCGACGGTTGTCATTCTGTTGTTTATGATGATAATGGTGACGATGCTGATGATCATGGTGATGACGACGACGATGCTGATGATGGTGATGACACGATGATGACGGTGATGAGTTGCGATGACGACGACGATGATAATGATGATCATGATGGTGATGATGATGGTGGTGGTGATGATACTGTGGTTGATGAGGATGACAAGAAGGACGAGTTTCAGGATGAGGGTGATGCTGCCGATGATGCTGATGAGGATGATGATTCTGATCGTGCAGCCGACGATAGTGTTTCTGCTGATGATCAGAAGGATGCTGATGATGATGGTGGTGATGATGGTGATGATGATGGTGATGGTGATGATGATGATAATGATGATGATGATGATGATGATGATGATGCTGATGCTGGCGACGATCAGGGTGGTGGTGGTGTTGGTGATGATGATGCTGATGGTGATGTTGATGGTGATGATGATGCTGATGATGACGATGATGCTGATGTTTCCGGTTGTGGTGATGAGGATGGTGGTGTTGATCACGCTGTCGATGACGATGATGATGATGATGCGGATGATCAGGGGGACCTGGAGGAGGAGATGGAGGGGTGAGAACGAGTGAGGGGGATGATAAGGCGTATGAGGAGGAGGATCATGAGGATGAGGAGGAGGAGGAGGAGGGAGGACAGGAGGAGGAGGAGGAGGAGCAGGAGGAGGAGGAGGAGGATGGGGAATGGGGAATGGGGGATGTAGAGGAGGAGGAGAAGGAGGAGAAAGGAGAGGATGAGGAGGTATGAGAGCTGGATGAGGTGGAGAGGACAGGGGCTGATAATGATGATGCTGATGATGATGATTATGAGGATAATGCTGATGATGATGCTCATGATCTTTGATGCTGGTGATGATAATTTTGAGGATGACGATGACGACGATGATGCTGATTATGATGATGATGATGATGATGATGATGATGATGATGATGATGATGATGATGATGATGATGATGATGATGATGATGATGATAGTAATGATGATGCTGATGCTGATTATGATGATGATGCTGCTGATGATGATGCTGATGATGGCTGTGGTGGTGCTGATGATGACGCAGAGGAGGAGGATGCAAATTGAGAGGGGGTTGGTGCTGATGATGGTGGTGGTGGTGGTGATGGTGATGATGATGAGGAGGAGGAGGATGATCAGGAGGAGGAGCAGGAGGGTGAGGAGAAGGTGGAGGAGCAGGAGGAGGAGACGCAGGAGTAGGATGGTGATGGTGATGGCGGAGCAGCAGCAGAGAGGAAGACGAGAGAGTCGGAGGAGGAGTTGGAGTCTGAGGAGCAGGAGGAGGAGGAGGAGGACAAGGGCGAGAGGGGCGAGGGGGGCGAGGGGGACAATGAGGACAGAGAGGATCAGGCGTGGGATAGGGGGAGGTCTGGGAGAACAGGGAGGGGGGGAGGCTCATGATCAGGAGCAGCCACGTGAGAGCACACCGAATGATACGGAGGAGGAGGAGGAGGAAGCCCTGCCATCCCGGTAGCCGTGGCCGTCAATCCCGATGATGCCACCTTAAGCATCGCATCACCGTGCTCCCAAGGCACGACAGGAGGGGCAAGCAGCCTCTGGAGGCCCGAAGGCAGCCCAGAGGGCTCGAACAGCCTCGATCCCCAAGCTGTCCCCGAAGCTAAGTTTACGGCGTCATCCCGCAAGTCTACATCGCGCTACTTGGTAAGGTATTTGGAAGGGGCTTCAGACCCATTGGCATTCGAATACTTCCGCCTCGAGATCGATGCGGCTGACAATCCTGCTGGAGAATTTGATTATGGTGATTTGGGTGTCGCATTCAATGGCTTTACGGGCAATATCATAATGGGAACGGATTTCACGTGCTCACCGCATTCGGTGGTGCCTGTTCAGAATGGAGCCGTCTCTATCGACACTTCAACCTGCGCCTCGGAACCACTTCGCTTTCAGATCCCCCCAACGAGGACCAATCTTGCCAGTGCCGACGCCTTCCTTGACACGGTCTTTTGGGACGCTGCGGACACGAACAGTGCTGCAATATTCTCTCACGTCTTCAAGACGTGCGACATGGGCACGGAACGCTGCATCCAGTGGTTCAAAGTGCAGGCGCCAGGATTTACAGTCGCCTTGACGAGGCCCGATGAGAAGGAGCCCATTGTGAGAGACTGCTGTCCGATTGGGCTTTGGGTAGAGCAGTGCACAGGCAATTGTTTGGGCCTGTGCGAGCTAGGGTTCCGTCAGGATGCAGAAATCCAACCCGAGGCATCTGCGACGGTTTGAGCTTTTGGCAGGATCCACGAGGCGTGCAATCATTCGGCCTACGTGAAGAAGGTGTTCGGGCATGGCCGGAAGGTGGACGCACAGTGCACTGGCGATGACAGGCGCGTGCTCGCGGTTTCGAACTCCGACGCCGATCTCGCTGAAAAGCTTGAGTGTGTTTCTCCTTCCGATGCAATCTCCCTTCGGGTTCAAGAGCCGGGAGGCATCGTTGCTGGTGCAGCGTGGTGTCAACGAGACCATCCCAGAGTCCCTCACGGCGACCTTAACATCTGTGCTGGTCCTTGTAGGATATGGCTCGATAGCCTGGCTTTTCTCGTTGTTGTTCATTGACGCAGACCCAGCCGACTACCCTTGGAGCCGCCTTGCGTTGTCCGTTGCGCACGCTGCTTGGATGAAGTCATACTGCACTGGCAACCGGTTCTCAGAGGACGGGAGCTAGTGGGACGTGTTTGTTGCTCTCTACATGTTCGATGCAGCTCGGATCATGACACTCTAGGCGCCATCGTTGGCTGAGTTGGGCACGACAATTGCGTGCTTGTCCATTCCCATGAAATGTTTCAGTATGCGTTCCGCCCACGGGCCTTGAATCGGCATGGTGGGTGGCGCCAGCGCAATATTCGCGGGTTCGTTGTTTGCGACGCGCTCGCGTCTTTGTGGGGGGATCTTGAGGATGATGCGTGTGCGCATTCTCCAAATAGGCTTGCCGTATAGGAGCCTTAGCTCATCATGAGTAAGTCGTCTTTAGGACCCACCCCTTGTTTTCCAATGCCCTCCTTTTTCCAATGGCACCCCCCTCTTTCCAGTGGCACTTGATTGCTTGCTCTTGCGTGCTTTCTCTCGCTTCCTTGCTCTTGCTTGCTCTTGATTGCTTGCACTTGATCGCTGGCTCTTGCCTGCTTGTTGTTGCTCGCTTGCGCTTGCTGGCTTCCGCTTGCTTACTTGCGCTTGCTTGAGTTTGCTCCTCCCGTTTCCCTCCCGCCCTGCTCCCGTATTCCTTTCGTCCTCCTCCCATCCTCCTCTCGTCCTCCTCCTGTCCTCGTATCTATTTGGAGTCAACGCTGGCTGATATGCGCTTTGTCAACTTGTCTTCGACAATGGGAGCAATCAGATCGATCTTCAGTCAGTGTGACCTCTTCGCGTTCAACAGTCTCTGCGCAATCGCAGCGCGCGGGGGTGGTTTGGCGGGGCATGGCATCCCGCCGACCACGGTCGCCATCCACCTTCTGCTGTGCACCCCCATCAGATGGGGCACTCTTTTTACGGAGTTGCTCACGTCCGCAGGGGGGTCACCCGTAGTATCCGACGAGAACGCGTCCCAGCGCCAAGTTCGCGTGATCAGTTCGCTCTTTCGCTCCGTGACTTCACTTTTGTCACGTAGAGGCACTGCAGGCATCGACTCCGTCCCGGCGTTTGTCGACGACCCACTCTTCTGCATGATTCTTTGGCGTTTGGATTTTGCTGCCAGGACGACGCGGTCAAGACGGTGACTCGCGCGCAACTTCAATGCGCGATGGCGATGCGCAGTGCCTCCAATGTGTTCGGCGCGTAACCGTATGAGGATTCCAGCCTGTCCAGGATCAGCAGCAACATCACATCGCAAGTTCCGTAGGGAAGCGCGCCCAGCAGGCAACATCATTCCGGGAGGGTTTCGTTCGAGTCTTTGGGCGCGCCGTTCGTGAAGAGCGCAGTTGGAGATATCGCCGAGCATTTGGTCCGGGCAGATGACCCTTCCCCCTGCCTGTGCCCCTGGCGCGGCGCGCTCCACCGGCTTCTCGAACGCGCCTGCGACCGCTGGCGCTGTTGGTAAATAAATCTCGTAGGACACAGAAGAACCCCACGACACGGGGGATCTGCGACGTCGTCATCGTCGTCGTCGTCGTCGTCGACGTTGTCGTCGCCGTCGTCGTCTCCGACGCCGTCCTCGTCGCCGTCCTCGTCGTCATCGCCGTCGTCGCCGTCGTCGTCGTCGTCGTTGTCGTCGTCGTCGCCGTCGTCGTCTCCGACGCCGTCCTCGTCGCCGTCCTCGTCGTCATCGCCGTCGTCGCCGTCGTCGTCGTCGCCGTCGTCGCCGTCGTCGTGGCGAACGGCGGGGGCCCGCGGCCCCCGCCCCCCGGCAGGCTGGCCGCGGCCCGCGCCGCGGCGCCCGCCCCTGGCGGTGCGGCCGAGGCACCCGTCGCTCGCCGCTCGCCGGCGCTCGCCGACGACGACGACGATGAGGACGAGGACGGCGACGACGACAATGCCTTCGGACGACGACGACGAGGACGACGATTGTGCCGACGATGACGACGATGCCTTCGGACGACGACGACGACGAGGACGACGACGACGACGAGGACGACGACGACGACGAGGACGACGACGAGGACGACGACGACGACGGCGGCGACGACGATGGCGACGACGATGGCGACGACGACGACGACGGCGACGGCGACGACGAGAACGACGAAGACGACGACGACGACGACGAGGACGGCGACGACGGCGACAGCGACGACGATGACGACGGCGACGACGATGATGTCGACGACGACGACGACGACGACGACGACGACAGCATCATCGACGACGCTTCGACGCGACGGTCGGAAGTTGGCGGTCTCCGAAGATCTGTTTTGTTATCCGGCGCTGTTTCCCCTAGATATCGGCCTTGGGGGGGGGGGCGGACTGCGGGCCCAGAGGGCCCCCAAGGGAAGCGGTCGGTACCCTGTCGGGCCGCTCGCCACCGGCCGCCTCTCGCGCCGTCGCCGTCGCCGTCGCCGTCGCCGTCTCCGTCGTCGGCGTCGGCGTCGCCGTCGTCGTCGTCGCCGCCGTCGTCGTCGTCGTCCTCGTCCTCGTCCTCGTCGCCATCGTCCTCGACGTCGTCGTCGTCGTCGGCCAGCGGCCAGACACGGCAGCGGCGCCGGCGGCGGCGCCGGCGGCGGCGGCGGCGGCTCCGGCGAGGAAGAGGTACAACGATGCCGCTGCTCGTCCTGGAGGGTCCTCGCCACCACGGCCAGATCCTGCTGGAGAGTCTGGTCAGAGCGCGCCCCGGGAGATGTCAGGGGAACCCGGTCGGACCGAGGTATATGAGACCGAGGTCGGTTCGGGGAGGGTGCCCTTGGATTCGTGAGGAGGAGGAGGAGGAAGAGGAGGAGGAGGAGGAGGAGGAGGAGGAGGACGATGAGCACTACGAATTTGTACAGCAACAGCGCGCAGAACGATACGACATCGAAAAACGTCAGTACTACTACCTGGAGAAAGAGCGTCACAAGTGCAACGGCCACATAAACATGTTGCCATCCCACACCTCACTTTCAAGAAAAATAAAGCCATGAATGACAGAAGAAGGTTCGACACAAGTCACGACTAAATCCCACCAGAGCCAGCAAAGATGCCGACACCACCGACACAGACCAACCAAGACGAAGAACCACGACCACTGTGATACTATCGAATCAGAAGACAACAGCGACAGGCACGACCCATGTGCAAAGACGAGCAGAGCATCCGACTTCAACGAAGTAATCTATCACCGCTCAAACCCAACAAGTACCACGACATGCACCTTCTCCGCGGCTGGATACCATGCTGTCACTATGCCAACGTCACAGACACAGAGGGTCAATAATAATACCACTGGCACCATGCAATATACGATCACGAAGCAACCAAAACATACACTTACTGATCCCCAGTCGACCTACTACTACTTGGATAGCACAAATAATTCAACAAGTACAACAACGATATGTTTGTCCACCAAGACGGCAAGCAATACCTACCGCATCCATCACTCCGACCTGAGTCCAAAGCCACTCCACTATCGACCTTCCCACTCCCACTGATAACAAGCACCAGAGGGCTCAAGCTAAAAGATGCCATTCAAGCAGACGCACACCAGCCAATGCACAAATCGCCCAAGCACCCTACCTTCACAAGATACGGCTACGACTTTTAGCCATTTGTAGCAAACTACCGTGACGGCTTAGCACTACGGGCACAAGTCGTCACGACCTACAATCATCTACCTCATCGCGCTGATCGCAGGAGGACAAGCACCGCTCGACAACGTCACGATCGCCTCCATACAATAAGTTGCCCAATGGCTCCACACATGCCACGACGAGCACGACATCCTGAAGCACGACTGGGCAGTGTGCCTTCGTGAGACAGCTAACCTACTACAGCGGATCTGCAACCCGACCGATACAAGGCGCTACATTGCCAACAAGCATGGCGACAGCGACAGCTCCACCGACAGGGAGACCAACACTGACGCCCAACAACAGACGCAGCCACTACCAACCAAACCACCACCACCATCATCACAACCAAGCAAACCCACGCCATTCGCACCCACGCTACCACCCTCATGGGACGTACCCGGCAGCCCAGCGAGTCCGACTATACGAACCGACGTTGCACACAAAACAGCAGAGCTGCAACTTGCACAACCGCACAACACGCCAAGCGGACCGACTCCACCAGTAATGACAAAGCAGATCACCATACATTCCTACAGACAACTGCAACAGAACACGATCCCAAGCAAGCGTATGCCGAATATGCACGTCAGCAAAACGACCACGACCATCACAACGACGACGCACCAGAGACCCCACAAACCACCACCTGCTCACCTGATTGGCCAAGCTTACCAGACAGCCCAACAGCCACCGACCACGCCCAAAAACAACTGCACAACAACACCACCAAATACGACACCACCCACATTCACAACTATGATCAAGTGGTCACCATCCCACCTATTCGTACTGGTACACCCACCACCACCCGCACTAAACATATTCATCATTTACCCACCAGACGAGGACATCAACGCCCAGCAATGGATACAATATTTTCCTTGGCGACAGCTGGCTCCAAAAACGCTGGTCACGCGTCACATTTACTTCCCAGCTATCGCAGCGCAAGCAACCGCCACACACCACGAAGCAGCAAGACGGGGAGAACAACATACCCACATCTTCAACCGACGCATCAGTTTCCTCAACAAGGTTGGGGAGCCTACGTTCCAGGACTATATCGCCAGGTCTCGTGTGTATCAGGCCTGCTACGGGAACTACCTCAACAGCCTACACGAACACACGCCTGGAGCACCATTCAGGGAACCGCCGCCCAAGCATATGAACACGCTACACAACGCTGTTCCCAAATCCAAGCCGACGACCACCAACATGGACCAAGCTACGTAAACGATCTGACAACCACCATCACAACCAGAACTGGGCAGCTTATAACAAAATCAGAGTGAGGGGGCTGAGCCGAACGGTCATTCACTGTTCCTGGGTGCGTGGCTGAAGTGGAATTCCGCGATGCGGATTATTGTTGTTGTTGCTGTTTGTTGTTTGTTGTTTGTTGTGTGTTGTTTGTTGTTTATTGTTTGTTGTTGTCGTCGTCCCACCCGCGACCCGCCCCGCGACCCTCCCGCGACCCAACCCGCGACCCACCCGCGACCCACCCGCGACCCACCCGCGACCCACCCCGCGACCCACCCGCGACCCACCCCGCGACCCACCCGCGACCCACCCGCGACCCACCCGCGACCCACCCCGCGACCCGCCCGCGACCCACCCCGACCCACCCCGCGACCCACCCGCGACCCACCCGACCCACCCGCGACCCACCCGCGACCCACCCGCGACCCACCGCGACCCGCCCCGCGACCCCCGCGACCCACCCGCGACTCACCGCGACCCACCCGCGACCCACCCGCGACCCACCCCGCGACCCACCCAAAATGGTCGGCGCCTGCGACGGGTTTCTTTCGCATTCGTTCCAGGTGAAGAACTTGCGACCAACCCGTGACCCAAGCTGCGCCCGCGACCCACCCGCGACCCACCGCGACCCACCCTATCAACCCGCGACCCACCCCGCGACCCACCCAAAATTTTCGGCGCTTGCGTCGGGTTTCTTTTGCAGTCGTTCCAGGTGGAGAACCTGCGACCCAAACCGCGTTCAGTACATCAAAATTTTCGGCGCCTGCGGCGGGCCATTTTTGAATTCCTTCCAGGAAAAGGCAGACGACGACGACGACGACGACGACGACGATGAGGACGAGGACGCGGATGAGGAAGAGGAGAAGGAGGAGCAGGAGGAGGAGGGCGCCATCGACAGGGAAGGTGAGGGCCACGAGGTCCGCCGGCTCGATGCCCGCGTCGCCCGCGGCCGCCCCCATCACTCGTATCCGCAATTGCAGGGTGCTATAAACCGCAATGTTCACGACCAGTACCTCCCCCCGACCAATTACCGCAGATGAACCTCATCTGATTTAGTAGATGCAGGCGCGTTCACTCGCAGTCAGCTCCGTTATGGCCCACATTTGATATGCAGTGCACTCTCCTCTCTTTCCCTCGCGGCTCGACCGACACGCTGGTGGCATTATCTCACGTGCTGGTTCGGGGTTCTCCTGCAAAGCCCTGGGTCCCACCCCTTGGATTGCACATTCATTTTCGGAAGGTTAGGGGTTATCCATCAACCCCGATGGCAACATCACGATACGTACATTCACAGTCAAGATACTCTTGGAGGCCAAGTGGATTACCGCCCTGACTTCCACGGCGGCTTCGTTACTATGTTTATTCTCTACCAATTGCGGTAAGCTACTAACGGTCAACTTTGATGGGCGACCAAGGCGCTCCCCCAATCACTCCAAGCCTGAGAGCACACAGGTATCAACCATAGTACCTCTCATTTGAATCCCCTGATTTTTCCACCGCCGCTGCTCTCCTCCCGTCGCTCACGCGCTCTACACGCTGCGTTTCCTTTTCCCCTTCGGCACCCTGGCGGTTTCCATCTCATCTCCTGTCTTGGGGTACGCCTACAAAACCCCCACAGCAACCCAAGTTCATGCAGCTCGCTCACATAGTAGGGTGGATGCCATGGTCGCTTGATTTTTGGGGCGGTTGGAGTGGACACCTACGGCACCAACTGTAGTTGGCGACGCTACGCCGCATTTTGTGGCGCAGAGCTCACTGGCATGCGGCTTCGGACCACAGTCAGACAACAGCACTTTGGCGACAATGTACTATTTTTTAGACTCAAGATACACCTTGCGAGTGTACCGATGTGTACCCCTTCGCAACAGACCAGGCAGCACACACTCTCACACGTTTGCTGCACGAGGCCCTACGTGAGCAATCTTCCCACGTATGAGCTCCAGCAAAGCAGCCCGCACATAATGTACAACCCACAGCCTCTTGGCAGCACCTAGCCACAGTTAGGGCTCTTCTGTCCCAATAGGGCAGCTTTAAAAGGCCAGCTTGCGACACCTATCACAAGACTACCCTGTTGGACAATATGGGTTCGTGCTATGCCCGAGAAGGATTACACGAAAAGCACGAGGGTCCCAGTACCCATGTGCTTCGGGGTAGACCAAAACACCCTGGGCAGCAACCCTAGAGCTGCCACGCTCCAGTGTCTTCTTCCGATGCTGCATGACAGCTTAAGTGGAGGTGTTGGATACACCGAGGTGTGGAAGCGGAGGACTTACAAGCCTGCATCTTCAGACCTACCTGTGCAGCTCCTCTCACCTCAGCTTACAGGAAAACCTATCAGGCCAGCCTTGTACGGAGGATCATACAAGGTTCACGGGCAACCAGGAACCCCAGCCCACAACTTTGCACTGCCGCTCTCACTCAGGACAGGCAAGCCTTACAGGCAAGGTTTGAAAATAGGTGACGGGGAGGGTTAATGGAGGGACTCAGGCGGGTGGTGGAGGAGACATGCGCTATGGGTTGGGGTGCGCCAAAACCCTGGCAGCAACCCTACAACTGCACAGTACCTTTCGTCTCCTTTTTCTTGCGCACGGCGATCGTTTAACTGCCTTGTCACACGACGGCACTCATCATTGATCTAAGGTTTCTTCTTTTTTTGTTCCCCACGAACCGTCTCGCCCAGCGCTCAGTCTCTTTCGTTGTCCGCCCGCGGCGCCCGCCAGGTGTTTTTTTTGTTGACCCGTGTCGTTTTTCTTTTTCACCCGCCATCATCAACGCCACAGCTTCACGCTCAGATTAATCTAACGTAACGTTACAAAAAAGGAGGAGGAGGAGGAGGAGGAGGAGGAGGAGGAGGAGGAGAGGAGGGAGGAGGAGGAGGGGGAGGAGGGAGGAGGAGGGAGGAGGAGGATGGAGGAGGAGGAGGGAGGAGGAGGGCGGAGGAGGGAGGAGGGAGGAGGAGGAGGAGGAGGAGGAGGAGGAGGAGGAGGGGAGGAGGAGGAGGAGGAGGAGGAGGAGGAGGAGGAGGAGGGAGGAGGAGGAGGAGGAGGAGGAGGAGGAGGAGGGGAAGGAGGAGGAGGAGGAGGAGGAGGAAGAGGAAGAGGAGGAGGAGAAGCAGGAGGAGGGCCCTCCCCAGACCCCTCTCAGGGTCCATCCTGACCCCCCCTCGCGGCGGATCTGGCCCTTGCGACTAGAAACCTCCCAGCGCTTTCCGTGCCCGTTGGACGTTCTGCGTGCTTCGTGGGGGAGGGCGCCCCCGGCTGTTCCGCGTGCCTTGGCCAGCGGAGGGCCTCGCGTTCTTGAAGGATGCCCTCCTGGCCTGCAGTTACGTCGGGCCTGTCCCTCTCTACAGGAGGAAGATTCAAATATTCTCCAAAAATAGTCAGGGGACGATTTTGTTACCATGTTTGAACATTTTTTGGGGGATTTTTTTTTTTCCCCCAAATCCCCCTGTAGGGGGGGCAGTCC